ATATGGAAGATAATGAAAAACATTAATGGCAAAAAAACTGGTTTTTGTCATTGCACGTTTTATTAGTTTTTTTTCTGAATTATGTCATCTTTGTTTGTTTGAGCATTATACTTAGATTAATATCTTATAACGTTTGGGTAGGATAGACTTCATCAGCCTTCATGTTCTGATTCCTGCTTTAGACGGATAGGACATGGCTTAAAATTTTTTCTAAATCTAGAGAGTAAGAGTACCGTAGGGTAATAACGCTTTTTATTCTTTCATCTGAATCTTTGAAAATTTTGCATCTTCCCTTTTGTCTGATTGAAAGTCTTGTACCACTTCGAAACATTTAATGTGCAGTGCGTGTATCTCTTAATGGCTTTAATACATTGATTAGAACTTATGGCAAGGTGTCGTTCACATTTCTCTTACTTAAATACTTAAATAATGTTCCATGTACCAAAGAACAATTCGACGACAAAAATGGGAACGAAATTCTTATTCTTTCTTTTCTTTTATCAACATCTTTTGATCATGACATGATGATGAAAGCTTGATATTTATTTATTTGTAATATTTAATACCTCTATACATTGATTTGTGTTTGATCGTACATATTCAAAGAATTCTTATTGTAAAAAAAATTTTAATTTTACTGCAGTATCACAAAATGTCACATGGAAATTCTCCTACACCAGATCGAACTAATTCTCTATCTTCTCCTTTAAGCGTGGAGCTCGTTAACTTTTTGAAAGAGTCCATGGGAAGTATCAATATCGATCCATATGTTTTTGTTGTTTTCGGTGCTTCGGTAAGTTGGTTTTGTTAAAACTGGTAATATGAAAAAGAAGTCAGTTGCAATATATGCAACCATTTTATATATTGTTTGAAGTTTCAGATGGATTTATTTTATACTTTAATATTTCAAGATTTATTTTAAGTCAATTAGCAGAGAAATTTTACTGAGGTAAGTTTTCATCATGCTGACACTTTGTTGTCAGCAAGTTTTTTTTAGGGTGATTTGGCTAGAAAGAAAATATATCCGACACTTTGGTGGCTTTACCGTGATTCGTTATTACCAAACAATATTTCCATCGTCGGTTATGCACGATCTAATTTGACGATGGCTTCGCTAAAGGAAAAATTTATTGAAAGATGCAAGGTTATTTATCAAAATTTATTTACTTCTAGTTTTTGTTACAACTAGCATTGCAGGAACATTTCATCACTATATAACTTTTGCTGAACTTAGGTCAGCGATTAAAAGCTATTAAAAAAATGCAAGTAGTTGCATTTTTTTCCGTAATTCTAATAAGTTGTTTGTTGAATGCTTGAAACAGTGTGTCATTAATAAAACTGCTGGACCATCTATTATTTAAAGATAATGGTCAGTTGAGCCTCAATCTTAATTTCTAACATTTATTTTGCTGTGTGTAACCGCATAATGGAATACATTTCAGCTTCATTCTGGTGAAGAGGCAAAGTTTGATAAATTTATATCGCGCTGTTCATACATTCGTGGTAAGTATGATGAGTCTTGTGGTTTTATTGAATTGCAGAATTTTATCAAAGGAATCCAGCGGTCTTGTGACGGAAGTTAGTTTTGCTTTTTTCTTTTGTTTTCATTTTTACTTTTTGTTAATTTAGAATGCAGCAGCAATGTCTTTGCGTTTTGCGGGACAAAATTTCGTAATCGGTGTAGATTACATAATTTAGTAGTTTCATATTACACCTGTCTGTGTTACTAATGTAATGAATTTGCTTATTGTAGCGTTATTATCATTTAAGATTAGGTAACGGAAAATGCAATATTTATTCTTTGTAATTGTGTCGTAGTTAAAGGCAGAAGCTCAAAACTTTAAATTCATTCCACTTGTAATTTGGTTCTTTTTATGAAATGTAATTTGCAGCACCAGTGAACAGATTGTATTACCTTGCCTTGCCTCCTGAAGTTTTTGAAGATGTCACACTTCAGATAAGTAAGAACTGTTTGGACGACGGGTGAGTTGCTATATATGTTTTTTTTTAATATATGCTTCGTTCCTCAACAGTGGATTTGATCTGATTTGCGAACATAATTTTCCACTTTATCCTGTCTTGATTATCAGTAACGTTGTGTTTCTTCAAGGATAACTCTCCTTCATGACTTTATATTCTGGAATGTCTAAGGAACTCTAATTTCAAGGCATCCTTGACCTAGCTTTCTTCTGAAATAAACCAAGTGATATATATTTTTATGTAGCCTGTTCTTTGTATGATTTCTTATCTTAATTTTTTAAGTTAGTTTTTCCATTATTTTAGTACATACTCCTATTTCCTTATTAGAGATTCTTTATGATTTTTTTTTCAGTCGTTCTTGGACGCGTATCATTATTGAAAAACCTTTTGGTTTCGATTCAGAATCTTCTGCAAAATTGTCTTCACATCTCGAGCGTTTGTTCCGGGAAGACCAAATATATCGTATAGATCATTATTTAGGCAAAGAAATGGTTCAAAATCTTATGATTCTCAGGTTAAGATCTTATTTGCATTTTATTGTGAGCATTACGCAGTAGTATATACCAGGAAATTGAGGGAGAAAAACTTCTGTTGGATTTTAAAAACTTGATCAACCGATAAGTCTACATTTCGTAAGAAATCCCATTTTCATTTGGTTGTTGTTGTCCCCATAAAGACTAATTGAACCTTAGGTTTGGGAACAGGATCTTTAATCCTTCGTGGAATCGTGACAATATAGCCGCTGTTGTGATCTCGTTTAAGGAAAATTTTGGAACGCAGGGTCGTGCGGGATATTTTGATACAAGTGGTATTATACGGTAAGTTTTGAAAAAATCAAATATGCATAACACAAGATTCATGTATATTTTACTAGATCCGTTGTCTCTTCAAAAATGTAAAGATGTTTGTTGTTTCAGTGATGTGATGCAAAATCATTTAATGCAAATTCTGACACTGGTTGCTATGGAGAAACCTGCCAGTTTGGATGCCGAGGATATTCGTGATGAAAAAGTGATGTTTTTGCACATCACTATGCTTTGTTTGAAACATGGAACATCTCTGTTTTAAGCATTTACCAACTGTAATTAGAATTATATTGGAGTTGGTGTATTTCAACCTCATCTTCTAGAAAAAAAGTCTGTGGAATGCGCTGAATTGGATGACTGCATTGCTTAGATTATTATTTTTTATAAATCTTTGAGCAAGCATCGTGCTACCTCTTGTCTGTTAGGCCTCGTTGAGATTTATCCTGAGTAACGGTATGAAAACGATGTTGTCAAGGTCTAATGGACCTGTAGTAGGACTGGATCCTCGTACTTTCCAACTAATTATCTTAATTACTCTATTGTATTCTTTGAAAGCGAAATAATATAACACTCTGACGAAATTTATTCTGAGTTATGACATTTTTTGGATTAAATGAGCAGAGTGTAAGACGTCAATCTTTTCCAAGAACAGTACTGAAAATTTCTTAAAATAGTTCTCTCTTTTATCTCTTTCTGGAACTCTTTTTATCAGACTTTTGACATTGTTTTAGGTCAAAGTTATGAAGTGTATCAAGCCCGTGCAAATGCAAGATGTGGTTCTTGGGCAGTACGTCAGTGATCCGAAAGCAAAAAGTAACTGCTTCACTTAATTGGCAAGCATCTTTTTCTTGTGAGCATAAAATAATTTTATACTTTTTTACACTTGCAGGTGGGGAAGCGTGCTATGGCTACCGCGATGATAAAGATGTCCCTCAAGATTCAGTGACGCCAACATATGCATTGGCTGTCTTAAAAGTAAATAATGAACGTTGGGATGGTGTTCCTTTCATTCTGAGGTGTGGAAAAGGTTAAGGTTCTTTTCGGTCATTGATAAGATTTAGGTGAAAACGATGAATTTACTGTTTGTGACAGTTGTGTTCCTGTCAGCGTTGTCGATTTTCGAATGCTGAAGAGTGCTATAACTCGAGATGCTATTTTCACGTCATATATCAATTTGCTGTGACATACGTTTCAAAATATTGAAAGTTTTTATCGATATAAAGAGGTAAGAGTTCAGAAGAACCGCAAACAAAAAAAGGTGAAAAGTTGTATGAGTTGTGTCAGTTGAATTGTATTTCTTGAACTCTTAGCCATTTTTCAGCGCTTAATGAAAGTAAAGCAGAGGTACGAATACAATTCAAGGAAGTTTCGGGTGATATTTATCCTGAGGGACAATTGAAAAGAACAGAATTGGTTATAAGAGTGCAACCAAATGAGGCGGTTTATATCAAATTAATGTCAAAGAAGCCTGGCATGGGATTTTCAGTCGAAGAAACTGAACTTGATCTTACTTACGGATATAGATATAAAGTAATTATTTCATTTTTTTCATTCATTGTTTTGTTATTTTTGATTTTAGTGTAACAAATGTATTGAAACAAATGAAATGATCTAGTATGAACATTTTTTGAACATTAGTTTCTTAATCTTCTATTTGTTTTCAGGATGTTCGTCTTCCCGATGCTTATGAACGGTTATTTCTCGAGGTAATCATGGGTTCTCAAATAGATTTTGTTCGAACTGATGAATTGGAACAGTCGTGGAGAATATTTACACCCTTATTAAAACAGATTGAAGAAGAAAAGACGAAACCGGCCAAATATGTTTTTGGGAGGTGAGTTTTTTTGAACTGTTTTTTTATACTTAACGATTTCACAAATTGATCGAAGCTTTCTCCAATTCATGCATGCACTAAAGAACACTGTCATTTCATTTTTTATAAGTTGAGTTGGTCGCCACTGAAGACATCTTTCTATAACTCTCTTACTTAATTTTGGCTTACATTTTTATAGTATCATTAAGGCTATTTATAAAATTGGAAAGTTTATGTTTTTATGAAATACTTGCTAATATTACACCGATTTTGCAATTTTATATGAAATATTTAAATTTCAGTCGTGGACCAGCAGAGGCAGATGAAATGATGATAAAGCATGGTTTCATTTTCTCTGGTACTTACAAATGGGTTCCAAACACTGAACGTTGAGGGGCGAAAAAAAATTATATATATTCGGTGTTACTAAAAAGATACCGACGATTTATAAACATTTTCGTAAGATCACATTGAATTTGGATTGATTTTTGATGCATCTGACTTTTCGGGATTCATGTGAACTTTGTTATTTGTGAAGAAACTAAACTAATTTTTGGAAATATAGTGGTGTTTTCTAGTTTCTCAGTAGACCATTCAAATACTTGCTGCTTGTTTTGTCAGTCATTCCGTAATTTGTTTCTTTTTTATATGATAATTATGTGTATTTGTCAGAAACTGGGTAAGCTTGAGAATTTGTTTAATTCTGATGTTTTAATCTGACTACCATTTTTCTAGTTAACCAGTGTTTGGTAAAAATAGGTCTTCAATTTTCAATAAAAAGAATTGGCACTATGTTTGTTAGTTTTTTCACAAATGTAATGAAAATGAGGATAAACATTCATATTTATTTAGAAAAGGAAATATTCTTTTGAAAAATTTATATATCGATAGCGTCATTGGTGCCATTACTCTCTTGAATGAAGGTTGTGTGTTAATGCCATTGATGCAATGTTTTCTTTTTCTCAGTACTAGGTGGCTTGCATTCTAATTTTTTTTAGTCCAGGCTATTTAATATTATCTTCCTATTTTCCTATTCTCTCATTATAAGGATTTTCAAATGCCTTTTTGCTGCTAATTTTGTACTATTCAAAATAAATTGTAATCTTTCATTATTTGAAATTCATCATTACACTGTGAGTAAGGCTTGAAAGGGTGGTAATGTGTGAGATTTACATTTCATTTCAGATTTCTTTGACTTTTATCATGATAGTCAAGACGCTGAAAATTCTTAATTTTCCAAAACTATCCAAAATGTAAGACAAAATTATATGGTGATTAATTGTCAGAACCTACTTTATTTTATCACAAAGTTGCTTTGCATGTCTTAAACTAACAGTGTAGTTTTGCTACTATGTAGGCATAATGGGACAATTTCCTTACGTCCACATACCTCTTCAGTTTAAAACCAACCCAACCTAAGCCATTCAAGCAATTATTTGCATAAAAGAGATATATCAATTCTTTGTAAGTTACCAGATTTAGCATTGTACAACTAATTCAAACCGAAGAAAATTTTTGATACCAAAATTACTAGAACCAAACGAAACATTAAATTTTGTGCTACCATTCATTTCCACTTGAGAAAAAAAAGATACAGGTAAAATATTATATGGTTGAACGAATATATCTGACAATTATACGAATGAAAAAGATACTGCGGATAAAATTTGATTATGAAAAAATCGAAATTTTCATCTATCCTTCTTTAACAAATACAGGATGTTGTATAGTGCTACATCTGTCAATCAAATTTATTAATTCATTTTGTCTTTTATAGATCTGCTTCAATTCTCTGGTAATTTCGGTAATGACATCCCAATTGCATGTCCCTTTAATCATCCTAAAATTATTCTTAATTCTTTTTCCTGTTTGAAAATTTTGGTATTTTAAATCCATTCTTGATTATTACTTCAAACCTAAAGATAAGACAAAATATATCAATTTTCTTTCATGTTTGATCAAAAAGAAATCGAAATATAAATGAGATTTTAAGAATGAAGAACCAATAGGCAAGCAGAAAATTTGAATTAAAAAAATTTTACAAAAATTCAAACAATATATTTCGTTTTTATCTGATAATTTTTTACCAATCAGTTATGCTCCTCTATCCAGGAGTAAGTTGTTGCACGATTTCAAAACAGAAACTTTCAAAATAAAGTGAATCTTTTTAGGCCTCTAATTAAAATTTTCTTGGTATAATTTCAGAGAAATAAAAAAGGAAGAGAAAAGAACATACAGATCATCTCGTTGCCATCCTCGAAATAAATTTGGTAATGTTCGTTTGTCCCAGTTATCGGTGAATGTCATTTGTGCCGCAACGACGTAAATTATAGCTAATAGTAATGTAATACGTTTCATAATTCTTGATTCTGGATTAAATTTCTTTGAAAATTCCCCTACAAATATGTATACCATAAAATATGGTACATGATGGTTCGATTATTGAATGATCCAACGACATCGAATTATTTAATTCTGTTTTCCACAATTTATAAACCCCTCTCTCTTCTTGGACCTATTAAAATTTGAATTTCAGTGAAAAAAAAAACTTATTTTCCCCAAGTTTTGTTTTTCCTCCAACTTTTGCAGATCAAGACAAGCATTGTCACCAAATGTTTATCATAATATATTTGTTGAAGTAAAAGATAAAGTACCAGTAGTGCTTAAAAGCTATCAATTGACAATTTCTATTATACTAATCTTTTAATTTATAAATTACTACTTATTTTATCTAATATACAGAAATAATATGATAACAATTGACTTGAAAAAAATACTAAAAGCAAATATAAAAATTACGGTTGATCTGAAAAGAAAACTTTGGAAAAGATATATTAATATATTTTCTTTTTAAGATTGTAATAAAGTAAACCATCAGAAAGAATCAATTCAGCATTTCTATTAATATTTCTCTTACTTTCACCACTAGGATTTCATACTCACCATTTTGAATTTTAAAAAGACAAGAATCAAGTGATAGTTTATAAAAGAGCATGCTAAAATGTGAAATGAGCTGGCTTAGTATATCAAATTACACCATCAATAAGGTAACAGTCGACATCGCTAATAAAGTTATCGAAATAGCATACATAATTCTATCTATTTTGTCTCTTCAAAACAATATTCTTTACAAGTCGAAATGGAAATTTAGAGATAAGGATTAATTAATTCAGAGATGGGAATCGAATTATGATAATGTTCAAAGTTCATGATTAGTTAATGTAATCTAAATGATGAAGATCGTTTTCTAGTAACTGGAAGGAGGCTTATTTCAATGAAACTATTGATATTAACAGGTATACATTCTTATTCAGGTGAAAAATAGTCTACGACAAATAAGAAAAATATATTTCAGTAATTTCAAATTTTATTTCATTGTAAATTTCCAACTTCTAAGTTTACTACTGCATATATTTTTAAATCTATAATTTTTTCTAGCCTTTTCTCTTTACTCCATACGTTTATAGCACAAACTAGGCCATCTTCCCTAATTAATCACTTGGATTACGACCCAATAATATTCCAATAAGTTTGTTACTTTTTTCGAGAAAAATAACTGAATTGTATTGATTTACAGAGCATTACGTAATAATCATAGATTTACAATATATAATTTTGCAAACTTTGGTATCAATTTAAAATTAATAATTTCTTTCTGAAATATTGGATCTGACACTTATTTGAGTTAATTAGAATTCGTTAAAATTATTAATACGGTAATATTTTTAAACTCACGAAATAATTCGATCGGTTATGCGAAGTATGAGAAATTGCACTCATTTCAAAATGCTCTCCAAATTAAGTGACAATTACAAAAAAGGAGTTATTAATTTGGATTGGTACTGTGAATAAAATTGTATGAAAGCATTGAAATTTTTGAAAATTTGTTGTGAAATTTCATAGTAATTGCTTTTCTGTTCTATAATTTTATTAAAAATATTTGATGAAACAAAGCCTAGAATTAGAATTCAAAGAAATGATGTTACAATGATACAGTAAAGCTTAAATTAAATAATGAAATTGGATTTAGATTAGTATCGTAAAGAAGGCTGCATGAAATTATGCCATTCAGCCATTTTCATTTTAACTGGCTATTCATCCTACTTTAATACAACAATTGTATTTATGCATGTGAAAAAATAATAGAAATTCATCTAATGCGTAATAATGGTATTGGCTTTTTTTCCTCATTTCAATTTCTTTTATTATTCAAATCACTCAGTTAAAAGTGAAACGAAGCCCTCCCCGTATTGCTTTTTCCGATCCTGTGAAATCGAAATAATTTATTTTCAGACATCGTAAATCCTACTCATTCCATTGCTCATTTATCATTCAAACATCAATCATTTGAGTCTTATAGGTCATTTTATCACCACCAACATTAATCATCGTAATCAGTTTCACTGAAAATCTTATTCTAAAAACATTGGTCAAGATTTGCAGAAGTTCCATTTAGTTCCTCAGCAAGATAATTGTGATTCATTTTTCTTGCATTTTTTCAAATAATCACTATTGATACTCTTGAGCGAAACAGTGATGAACCATTGCTAGATTTTTTAACTATTTTTATCAACTACTAATTTATTTTGTAGACTAACTTTCTTAAAGTTTCACATCCTATATTGATAAAATTTTTTAATTTTTAATTAACCATTTTTTGCAAAAATATTTTTACCTCTGAATACTGTTTAATATGGCAAAACTAATTTGAATGAAAATTTTTCAAGGCTTGCAAATTTGGAATGCTGGAAAGATATTTCATTTTAAAAAGATTTGCAAATTTTATATTCTGAATAAAATTTGCAAAATACAAACATAAACATTATGATGATAAAAAATGAATATAAAGAAGAAGTCAAGAAAGAAACTATCTATTGATTAAGAAGATTAAATGCCGAATCGTTTAATTTAACTATGAATGAAATCTCTCGCATTACAAGATTTGAAAGTAAGGAAAAAATGAACTTATAGAATCAACTAATTAATTATTATATGAAGATTTAGTCATTGTATTTCCTATCGAAGAATCAAATTAAATTGTAAATATTTTACTTGTTTAGTATTAAAAGTTTTTTTGGTATTTTTTATTTGCACAGTATTGTATTAATGATTCAATGGAAAATGCGCACGAAACAATCTGTATATTTAATTTTAAAGTTCGATTGTCCTTGTCAACATAAATTTGAATGATTCAAATTTCACTTTCTTTCGTAGATCCAAGGGATGAAAAAATTTTTCCAGTATTAGTTTTAATTATTTCAAGTCATTGTCCTACTTCATTACTCACTGCCATCTCATACAAGCATATGTTTGATTTTAGTATTTGCTTTTAGATTTTTAGTTTTGAATTAAATTACAAGTTTTGATTGCAGCATTTTAGCATATTTCGAAGCATATTCCAGCAAAGGTGAAAATAGTGACTAAGGGTCGCTGAAGGAAGTTTGTTTTTTTCTGCTGAGAAATCAACACAGTAGAATTAAAATTAACTGCTACAGCAAGTTAGTGCAACAGATTTTTTTTTATTTATGAGTATGAATGACTGGTATAGTTTTAAAGCAACGATTATTAATAAATAATATACTTATCAGGGTTGCCACATTATAGTGATAACATAAAAGCATTCAACACAAAAGGTTATGTAAATATCAATTATCAGATAATGTACTGTGCCAGATTTTTATTTTGTCTGACCATCATGGAATTTACGCGACTCGGTAACACCACGACCAAATCCTTTCGGGCCAAACATTGCTCCATAGCATTGGGTACAGTACGGTTTCCCATCGTGCTGTAAATATGATTTTCGATCATAGATGATCAAATTTTAAGACGAACAATTTGTAAATTGCTTTATACCATAAGGAAAGTTTAAGTACTACTATCTGTTTATACTTCTTTTAAAAAGCAAAATTTTTCTTGGAAATTTGAATTGTCTGAAAATGAAAATCAAAATGACTTGCCACAGAATGATTTCCCGGTGTTAGTTGTTTGTTGCATTTTTCATTCACACATCTCAGACATGGCCGATGCCAATCCATTTCCATTGATTGTACACGTTCCGCTTAAAAATATGCCTAATTTAATTGATATCAATGCGAAGTTTCAAATTTAACAGTGAAATGAATCGTTGTATCAGTCTTTCTCAAATAATGAAATATTTTATCAAATAACGAATATAATTTCATTTCTTATAGTTCCATTCTGATGATTATCTAAATATGTTATATGGCATATGAAAATTTACAGTTGAGCAACTTACCGAAATAAACTGGTTTTTTGCAACGTGGACAGTTTGGCATGATTTTGAAATTCAGACCTGAAAATAACCCTTGAAAAACTTTATTTGAGTAATCATCTAACACTTTACAGTTTAAATATTTTTTTTAATAAGATTTTTATGAATCCAAAAAAATCATGAATTAATAAAGAATCTGGTACAGTTTTATGAATTGATTTCAAGATTTTATGTTCGAAAAAAGTTCTTCACACAAAACTTTCCTGCTAACAATTCGAAACAAAAATATTATTTATGGAATTTATAAAATATATTCGTTACGAAATGAAATGCATTTTAATGAATGAATTGAATTTCCCCTTTTTGTGAAAAATAGGAAATTTTTCCCTTTTTTTGTGAATGGAATGTAAAAATAGACATGAAATGTATTCATACTAGCGATGAAACATTTTTATCGTTTTTATATTTAAGAAATTTCTTACAATTTAAATATACTTTTCTTCAGGATGATAAAACGTTTAAATTTCTTGTATTTAGAAGTGTTAGCATGCGTGTGAAAGTTGAACTTTAAAAATGGCCAATTTGAACAGTTTTTATTGCTGCTTTCAAAAATGTTCACAATGTAAATAGTAGCTGTAGAAATGATATATGAAGCATTTATAGTTGGACGTTATTAATTGTAACTTAAGGATTTTTAGGTTTAGTGGATAATCAAATATGAGTGAATCATAGCAGTCACTTCATGTACTTGATAATATGGAGCAAGAAAAAAGATTAAGCTTTTCTTGCTTTTATCGAAAAATATTTTATTTTGATGAACTGAATTTGTAGTGAAATATTTTGAAAGAAAAAAAAAGTTGATGGATATCTTTGTAATTATGTTCATCGTTCATCTCTCAAATTTTCCTTTCCAAGTAAATGTTTGTAGAGGTTCCTAGGGGAAATGATGAATCGATAGGAAATGCTCTTTTTTTTTTTGAAAGATGAAATAATACTGCGATAAAAAAAATATAACCCCGAATCACTCAATCGACTCTGTCATAAATTTAGACCGTATAAATATAAGATCAAACGAAACAAAAACAAAAACAAAAACAATAAAAACTGCCTTTTTTTCTATCAT